GAGGAGCGTAGGAAAAAAATCATTTGTGCATTGACATGTTTCGCATCGAGGTCAAAGACGATTGTTTGGAAAAAAAGTTCACGTGGGATAAAAAAGAAAACAAGAAGAAGAACGGCGTGTTCCAGAACATGAGACTCGTTCGGTTGGTGTCGACGACGGGGGAAACGGTCGTGATCGAACGGATCGAGGCATCGTTCGTTCCTCAATGGAATGTGTGGTCTTACAATGTGACCTTGAACGAAAAAAAAGATGAGAGTATGTTCATCTTTCAGGCTCCGACTGCCAACGCCGTCGAAGAAAAAAAATACCTTAAAACCCACCAGCCCAATACCAGACCGTCCATCACTCGTTTTGAAAAAAAGGGTTCTAGTTCCAACAGCAGTGGTGGATTGGGTTTTTCAACAACAGTGGAAAAAAACGAACACACATTTGGTTCGAACAACAACAACAACAACAACACCACCAGTAAAAAAAAATACCCAGTGAAAGCAGGCTTCACCCCTTTTGGTCCACCCTCTTCACGTTAAAAAAAGTTTGGCGCCAAAGCGTTTCCAGAAAAAGAAGATGAACCAGGAATGGAAGAAAAAAAACCTGATCCCAAACGCGTCAAAACGAGTTCATAAAACCAAAACAGAGAGAAAAAAAATTCAGTCATGACTGTTACGTTGCGGTGTTTCGATCTCCGAGATCGACCGATGATCAAAGACTGGATGGGACGGACGGAAAAGAGAGGTCAAGAGTGGTCGGACCGGTACGTGCTCAGCGATCAGGATTGGAAAGAGTTTCGTTGGCGGTGGATTGAGAGGCGAGAAAAAAAAGACGAATCTGATTACGAAGAGACGGGGATCTTCGCTCAAGTCCTGTACAAAAAAAACATGACCTTTCTSTCGTGGGASTACTTYCCYCGYACAGATCATGAATATGAAAAAAATGATAGAGGTGGTGGAAGAAGAATGGGTTCACCTGCATGGTATTTTGTCGAAAAAAAAAGATGGCGGGAAGTGAGTCGGATTCGAATCACCAAAACATGACGTCACCAAAAAAAATCCTATAAGTGCGGTGGTAAATCGGAAAGAGACTTTATTTCTCTCGACGGACTCGCC